CTCTCTCTTACTACCTCCCTCTCAACGCATTTCGATATTTTAAAAGTTAGTATCGGTATCTTCACTTCAGAAGAAATACACGTAGCGCTAAGCTTAAGCAAAGCAACTGGGTTCCAATCCTCCGTTGACACCAACTTTCCCGTTTCTAATAATATTTGAATAGAATCAGACATGTTATAGGGGCCCTATAATAATAATAGATAGCATTTGTATAGCGCATATCCCCGCTCAGCAGCAGGCTCTATACGCTTTACACTATATTATGAAGATCTTTTCACCCCTGTTAAAAAAACACAAACCAAGATGGTATGGGCATATAACAAGATCAACAGTACTTGCAAAGACGACCCTACAGGGCACTGTACAAGGAGGGAGACAGAAAAAGAGATGGGAAGACAGCATAACACAATAAACAGGTTTAACGGGGTCCCGCGCGCTCATATGACATTATGCAGTTGCAAGCGCCTTATAACACACACCAAAACAAAAAGTTGGGGGAAGCCCTTCAACAGACTAAAAATAATGAGAGGTGGAGAAAAATGGTTGCCCGGTCATCCTAGGTGCCCAAACGGTCATCTTGGGATAAGTAAGTAGATACCGCTATTCTACATGAGGTTGAAAAAAAATCGCTCTTGTGGATAATTACAAACAGGGCCATCTCGCAAAAGATCAAGGTTCGAGCCTGATAGGAGCGGTAAAACAACACTATGCACATATGTACGTATTGCGCATGTATTTAGAGCAAGCCACTCACACAGACACACACATACATACACACACACACACACACACACATACACACACACATGCGAGTGCAAGCGCACGCACACACACAGACACACACAAATACACACTCACAGACACAGATACACACACACATACACATACACACACACACACACACACGCACACCCACACCCACACATACACACACACACACACACACACATACACGTACACACGCATGAGTTATTCTATTTCACCCACAATCTTTTGACCACCAAGCGACTGTGTACAAAATAAA